ATATATATATATATATATATATATATATATATATATATATATATGGTCATGTAGTTTTATTTTTATTAAAAAATGTGTTGTTAGATTAATACGTTATTTACTTTTAAATACTGCATGCATACAACTAAGACATTTCTGTACTATAAACAATGATTTTAATTAAAAAGGGACAGATGTTTATTCGCTGTTGTACACATGATGTGATTAGTTTGAGTTCTTTGACATGAATTCTTCGTAGAACATCATTTGCTACATTTACTTTATATGTTTTGTTTGATACGAGATGCTCGGCACAGGTTCTTCGGTTCTCTAATTTTCTCCTTTTCTCTTGGATCTCTTTCGTGTGCGCAATTTTAACCTTTATAAAATAGATTGATAGGTGCTCGCATTTTATTTGTTAGAAAGCTGATTTTTGTAGCAAAAAATATTCAGCATAGCATGAATACCTCATGTCAAAAATCAAAGCACCATTATTGGTCGTCATTGGTCTCTTTTATTATGCATAGGCGACGAACAGAAGAAGAAGAGGAGGAAGAAGGTAGAAATAAATGAAGGATGGAAAGAATGAATGAATGGGATGAAAAGGCAAATGGGAATAGATTCATCTAGTCATGGCGTTTTCAAAAACCAAATGAATTGCTTAAACAATTGTAGTACTGCTTCTTCTCGATAAAAATGCGCCACTGGCGAAACAATTATATTTTGAAGTTCTTAATTGTGTAAATTATGGAAGAAAGAAGATGTACAACCGGTTTCACTTCATTTAATTTAAGAAGCCGTATCTTTTGTTCGTCAACGTATATGAATTACTTATGCATTATGTATAGCACTGATGCCGTAAATTTCAAGAAGTGGAAGTAAACGATAAGTGATGAACTTATTATTATCATATAAAATCATAGAAGCGCAAATATGTTATTTTTGCTTAAAGGAAGGGTTGCGCTCTATGTGCAAATAGAGCGATGGAAAAAAGAAATAATAAAATAAAGGAGTAGTGAATATATGCATGGATAGTTGGATGTGGATGAGTGGGAGGCTTTTTGGAATGAAATGAAAATGCAGCAATATTGAAAAAGATTAAGAGCAGCAGATGCATCACATCTTCAGTAGTAGTCATTGCTTATTTATTAGTTGCAATTATTCC